TGTTCTGGTTTATTGGAGGTATAACTCATAAAACAGCTTTGCCCACATGAAGGTTTCGTCCCATTTGCGCTCTTTACCAAATTTTTTCATCAAAGTGGCTATAATTTGACATATCAGATTCTTGTTAAATGCAAAAAACTTATTTTTCTCATACAAATGTCCCGTTAAATTTTCGGTATCTTAAAGTTCCTACCCCAGTTTTCCAATCTGAGTGTCTGTCATTTGGTACATTACTTTTTCAGAGCGTGAACATATTAATCATATAAATGTCCCAACCAATTTAAAGAACTTTGTATTTACACCACGTGGTGGAGAATGTTAAAAGTTTGGTCTGGTCGAACTTAACGAATTTTTTCTGCTTTAAGCCCTACTTTCCAGCCGAAATAGCTGTCATTGGTAATTTTGTGTTCTCGGATAAAAAACGTCATGGAAGGATATTTCAATATGGGCCATGTTTTATATACTGTGGTACAGGGTATTATGACTTTGTGTATATGTTTGTAACATGAAATAGAAAACGAGATAGAACCATGGCTCATTAAACAAAGACGACGACGAGCAAGAATATGCATAGAATCACTTTCCTAGCCGATTTGTACATGTCAGACTGTTCATGTATTCTCGTGAGCAAAGTATAGGTTGCATTTATGATCCAATTTGGATGAAATTTGACACAGGTGATTTATTTTACGCAAGGACGAACCCTATTGAAATTGTTTCGAAGTTTTTCACAGCGTACTAAAATTACTGCAGGTTGACGTATATGGAGTTGAGTTTAAATTGGTTCAGATTTAGATATAGCTCCCATATATATTTTCGTCCGATTTAATGTAAATTAGCATACTGTACTGATCTAAGTAGAGATTGACGTGTTCGATGTTTTGTTAAAGCCGATTATAATTCAGATATAGCACCCATATATAGTTTCGTCCGATTTTATGTAAATGGTGTTCCGATTGAGACGAATTTTTTCATAGAGATTGCAGTTGAGTCAATAATGATGTATGTTAAGGTTTCAGAGTGAAATCAGGAAATTAATCTAGAATAGATTGTGTTAAGTTTGAAATCGGTTTATATTCATGGAAATGGTGCACCGAGGAGCCTTTATTTGTTCGCTTACATGAAATATTCCAGAGCGTTTTGGATTGAAATCGACATTTGTCGAAATCGGTTCTGATTGAGATATATCTTCTATATTTATTTTAATCCGATTTCATCTAAATGGCGCACCAAATATCGAAAGTTTTTCCGATTTGACGGAACTTGTGTTCAACGTATCAAATTGACCTAAATAACGGGTATTGGTGTATGTCAAATTTAGATATATCCCGTATAAAATTTTCCTACAAGAAAAACACATTTCCAAATTTATCCAATGTAAACGTATCGGATACAAAGATGCATCATATTGATACGTTACACTATAGGTAATTTGGACAGTTTTTTAGGCAAAAAGTCATTTTTTCATTTTTGGAAAATCATGTCTTTTTTGATGGCATTCAAGAGAAAACATGTCAAAATTTATGATTATGTAAGATTTTTTGCGTAAAAGTGTCTTAAAAGCGGTGGAATCAACCAACGTGTTGGTTGATTAAAATGTAAAACAATAACCAGAGCACAACTTCAAATTTCATTTCAATTATGAAAACAAAACGCAAAAACATTCATCAATCTATTTTTGCAACTTTTGAGTGAATTGTGTGTTCATTGAATAAAGAATGCTGATGAAATATCATACCCTTCGTCACTCAGTGTTTCGTGCCGAAAAACAATACCATCAATTCGCTATATAAATTGTCATCTATGTTGGTTTTGTTTTTGGTAAAAACAATTTGTTTATAAAAATATTGTGGCTGAATTTTAGGTTGTTATCGTTGAAATTTTTTTCGCGACAAAAATTGTGTGTAACGGGTACGGCACGGGGAATTGTAGGATATGGAAATAGGTGGACATATACAGTTAATGATGTGAAGTGACATAAAGTCTACATGTAGAAATTTGTGCCTAAGTCGGTACTCATGCAATGTTTTGCACCAATGGGACAGATGTAGTGACTCTATGCTATATTAAATCGGACGAACTTATATATAGAATATGTATCTAAATCTTGCTGCAGTAATAAGCTTTTTGTAGTAAAAAAATCATTTCAGATGGGACTCGCGCTCGCCCCTTTCGTACGACCCTTATAAGAAACCAAAAATAATCGGACCGATATTTACTGTTTAAAACTGCTCCTAGGACCATAAACATACTTTAAGATGTATGGTATATTTTTATGGATGCTATTTTAAAATATGAACGAACTCAACTTCAAATCTCCCTCTGAAAGTCCTTTTTTATTTCCGACAATACAAAAAAGTCATGTCATTTCACAATTTATTACTAATTTAAATCAAAATGTTGAATGTCTCATTATAATTTATTACAGTATCCTGTTGTCATCTCAACAGGATACTGGTTTGCAAAATTTCTTATATTGTCTGTAACTAATAAATGCCAGACAATTATTATCATAGTATTAGTTATGGTCCTTTTCTGTAGAATCATGAGCTATACCAAACATATATTTACATATGTAAAGAAATAATTTATTGGTATAAGTATTTACATACTTTGTTTTTGTTACATCTCTTTTTATGTTGTTAGTTCACATTACACCAAAAAATATGCATAATACTAACAAAGTGGAATAATCTTTACTTGTATATGTTAATTCTAGCTCAAATGGAGTTACGTCATTTTAAAACTCGAATATCGGGATAAAGGTCATACTAGAATTGGCATTCCGTTTGTACATTTTCCTTCACTTTTAAACGTGATATATTCAATATTTTTCAACGATTATTTTTAAAAAACAGTGAGCGGTGCAGTATTGTCGGACGGGGCCGACTATATGATACCCTACACAACTTCCACGAAAATATAACGTTTTGTAGTTCTATATTGTGAGCTTGGGCAATATTTCGCGATATTTGCACCCTCTTCACCGACCAGAGTTCAACAAATATTACTAATACTCAGTGAAGCCCTTCTAATTACTTGTCCAAATTCCCTTTACCGTGAATTGAGTAGTGATGTTCGGTTTTCAATTGTGGCCTATAGATCGACTAAAAAAACACAAAAAATTAAGTTTTTGATCCATCTCATCCCAATATTAATATATGTTCATCACCTAAAATTAAAGCTGGATCTTCATACCTGGATTCTCATGGAAAAAATCGATCAGCGCTATATTTTCGCCCTCTAGTGTTGTAATGGGTTACTAAATAATATCTGCAAATATTTAAGTGTAACTCCTACATCCGAGTATATACATTAGTATAATTGATTTCAATTTAAAGGTCAACCACTTCTCTAGGATATACTATCAACCTGTAGGGTCTATGTCCTTCAGGATTAAATATATAGGCTATAGAATACGAATTTTATCATTTTTCACACAAAAGCCATGGTCCATTTGATCCGCCAAATATTGGCCGATCTTTATTAAAACAGGCTTGCTTATTCTTTGCCCGATCCCCTTCTCCATTTACAAATCTGCGATGTTTGGACCATAATTGCGGTGTCTGGAGCGGCCAGAAAAACCGATAAAAATTAAGTATTTTGTCCATTTCATTCCCTAAATAAAAACCGTTCTTTACCAAAAACAATAGGGGTCTTCATTGGTCAGAAGCAAACCTACATGCAAAATTTGGTGACTGTGGGCTGTATCGTGTTTACAAATTATAATGGACAACGGACAGACGGACGGACACACATGTCTCGATCGACTCAGCATATGACTAGATCTAGGATCAATATTTCGCGGTGTTACAAACTCTTGGGGCTGCATGCTATAATACATTGTATAATACCCTGTGTAGGGTATAAATATTTTTTAACAACTTATAAAGGTGTGGATTTTTATACCCTACACAACAATATTGTCAGGGTATTATAGCTTTGTCCAGACCCAAGAGTTTGAAACGCCGCGAAATATTGGTCCTAGACCAACCTTTAAGTATACCAATTATTATATAGCTGAGTCGATCTATACATGTGTGTCCGTCCGCCTGTCCATTATAATTTGTAAACACGATATAGGCCACAGTTATGGGCCAATCTTCACGAAATTTTGCATGTAGGATGGGTTCTGGCCAATGAAGACACCTATTGTTTTTGGCAAAGATCGGTTAATATTTAGGGGATGAAATGGACCAAATACTTAATTTTTGTCGGATTTTCTGGTTGCTTCAGAGGCCGCAATTATGGTCCAAACTTCACGAATTTTTACTTGGATAAGGAAATCGGGCCAAAAAATAAGCATGCCTGTTTTGATAAAGATGGATGAATGAATGGACCCTGACTTTTGTGTGAACAATTACAAAATTTGAATTCTAAAGCGTATATATTTACTCCTAAAGGACATAGACCCGAGAAGTTGATAGTATATCCAAGAGGAGTAGTTGACCTTTAAATTTATACCAATTATATTGACTCGGATGTGGGAGACACTTAAATATTTATAGGTGCTTACGTATTCACATATTTTTTAGTTAACCATTACCACACTAGATGTCGGAAATATAGAGCCGATCGCTTTGAAATTTTTCATAAGGATCCAGGTATGGTCAAGGACAACGCCTATAATTTTCGGTTATGATCAGATAATAATTTTGGGATGAATTGGACCGAAAGCTTAATTTTTTTGTGTTTTTTCGAGTCGATCTACAGGCCACTATTGAAAGTCGAACATCACAATACAACCCACGGCGAAGGGAATCTGTTCTAAATATTTGTAATATTTTTGACCTCTAGATTATTTATTATTTTTAAGGACTTATATCAGTATATAGTAGTTAAAGTTTATTTCACACTGCTATGGTGTTTCTTTATTTTGTTACTAACATTTATGTTGCGGTGCTATGCACCTCTCTTTGTTGGATTTACAATTATGATTAACTTCAACTTAAAACTAATATTATACTGCAGCCTGGTCGTGCTCGTTATTACGCTGAGTCATCACTTGCGGTGCGCTGGTATTAGTGCGCGTGTTTGTGGCGGATGACTGCCCTGGTGTCATATTCCTGTTGATTTGTCGGACTGCTTGCGCAGCATAATGATGGGAATGTTTACTAGTTGGTTTGCATATTTAGTTTGATGTTTATTAGGGTGAGCCGTTAACTCCTCCCTCTCGAATTATCAAGCGTCTCGATTGATGTGTTTAGAAATATGGCAGATTATAAAGACTGCCGCGTTGATTCAAGTTAATATTGTGGTTTGCTAGTTGTTTTGTTTTGATAACAGATTCTGTTGTGCCGGCTGCCAATTGGCTTTCTGACACAGTCATTTCTATTTGAGGTCTAGACATTCCTTCATGTGGGGTCATTTTTATAATTTTCATACTAGTTTTGCGCCTTTGCCTCATTTTTACTGCCATCAGGAGGATGACCAATGCTAATATGAGACTGATGTTAAAACATAAACTGGTCTTGAATTCAGTATTTAGACGCTCGATTCTTTTATTACTTTTCACGTGCAACGTTTTTAGTAGTTGTAGAGATAGTATTTCTTCGGTGTAGTTGTTTCTAGCTGAGTGTTTTAGTAGCGCAGGCAACGGTTTGGAGTAAGCAGCTTCTTCGACGGTGAAATTTTTGTTGCCTATCCTAATTGTAGAATTACTAAATCTTATTAAATAAGTTCCTGTTACATTTTTTTCGTTTCCATTTATGACAATATTTTCTTTTATGTTATTTATCAAAATTAATCCAGGTTCTATTTCCTCTAAATTATTAATGTGATCTGCATTTACTATTGAACAATTATGTGGGATATTAGTTACTAATTTAGGAATACATGTATTGTTTGTTATATTGGCTACATTAGATTCTAGACATAATTCAATACCATTTATTTTTTGACAAGGACTTTTAATTCCAAATGTTGCTCTTTCACATTTTACAATTTTCTTATAATCAAGATTTAAAACAGTATTTTGATTTTTTACAGGTCTTATGGTTATGACATTACAAATTTCTTTTACAGTTTTGGGAATGCTTATAATGTAAATTATATTAGTACTATTGTTTACAATTTTTATTCGTGCGAAATTTAAAGCTTGTTCAATGTTTTGAAACGGGATTTCATCTTGATTAAACATTTCTTCTATTTTTCTAATTTCTATTTCCGATAAAATAAATGTGTTTACAATGTTGGATTTTGTTAAATGAATGGCCGAATTAATATTCGTTACTTCCTCCTTTAAAATTTCAACTTTGTACTTTGCCTGCAATATGAGGGTATTACGGAAGTCCTCACTAGTCTTTAAAATTTTTGAAATACTATTTGTCGCATTCGTTATCTCCTGCATTCTTTCTATTAGATCTCTGTTGATTATTAGCTGGTTATTGCTGTTGTCTGTTAACTCATTGATTTTGTTTTCCAAAAGCATAAGGTCATCATGGTCTGGACTACCTGCCAGCCATTTCCACGCCGTTCCAATCTCATCAAGAGATCTTTTAGATCTCTCTTCAGGCATTAGCCGATTTATAAGGTGAGATATGGTAGTGATGTCATTATGTAGGAAGGGGAGTAGTGGGTGGTTGTCTGGAATTCCTTTGGCCAAGTCGTCCTTGATCCTCTCTAGAGTGTCATGATATTCCTTGATGTTAATACTCTCTATAAGAACCACTTCTGATTGAGAGTAGTCCAATATTTCTGTGACCCCTAAGCAACCTGTAATTAAGAACTGGAAACCCGGTAAATAAGTAAGTCAGTTTCTGATATGACTCTTATGGACTATTTTCCCTGATTGAGTCAGGACAGTTGAGTGCCTATTCTCCTTTACAACTTCTTCTTTGAAACGTTTAGATAGTTTGGTTCCTAATCTCTTGTTCTGTTTGACAAATATTTTCTGACCTTCTTGATATTCTTTTGGTTCTTCCCTAACACGATTATGATTTGCCAAATCATTTTCCTGTTTCCTCAAGAGTCTTTCGTAGTTGTTAAGGCGAGTCCTTTCGTAGTCCTCTGGTCCAAAGGTCGTCGGTCGTCCAAAAAATAGATCTACGGGTTTCTTTCCAATTGACGAATGTATTGTGTGATTGTACTTGTTAACGCTATCTTGCAATAGCTCCTCAAAAGAGTAATCGGGTCGCTCACACTTACTGCAACGCATAATTTCCGATAAGGTCGAATGGAATCTCTCTATTTGCCCATTAACCTCGCTCTTATAAGGCGGTGCCGTAAAAATTTCCATGCCAAGTTCGTCTTCCAACATAAACCGAATGGTCTGAGAATTGAAAGATCGCTCGTTATCAAATACAATTGACTTCGGGACCCCAAAGTAGAAAATTATTTCTCTCAATGGTTTCCTAATGTCTTCAATGCCTTTGCCATTTATCATTCTGATTACTGCGAATTTTGTAAATTTGTCTATTGCGGTTAAAACTCGAAACTTGTCTGTAGAGAAGATATCTATGTGGATTGTATGCCCAGGATAAGTTGGCATAGGTGTCTTATTAAGTTTGGGAGCGTTCGGATGTCGCTCATACTTATTTTCTTTACATACTTTACAGACATTGATCACATTCTTTATTTTCCTAGTCATAGAAGGGAAGTAATAGCTCTCTAAAATTTGTCTCCTATTCTCGGCATTATTCCTATGTGCTCTGTTGTGAGTCTCAATAATGATTTGTTTTTGTCTCTCCTCATCAGTAACATCTTCAACCATTATTTGAGCGAATCGTACTTTAATGTTTCTGAAGTGATGAGGGTACAGTGCTTGAATCATAAGCATAACTGGCTCTGAGGTCTTGATGCCGTTGACTACTGTAGGATTTAAGTATCTCTTTAATATGACTTTCAGATCTGATTCCGCTAGACTGGTTTCTTTAATGATATGTCTATGGTAGGAGGGAAATACAATGTTAAATTCATATGAGGAAGCTGATGATTCCTCAATAATGATCTGATTTTTGAAGGTATTTATTGGCACCTCAGCGGAAGGAATTAGGTCTTCCGATGAGTCCTCGGCACTGTGAACCGTGGGCGTTAGGGAGTTAACATCTGTCACTGGTGGTCTCGATAGCGCGTCCGCGACTACATTCGTGCTACCTGGTTTATAAATTAACTCGTAATTATATTCTTCTAACTGTGCCTTCCACTTCTTCATCTTCACATTTGTGTTCTTGTTGCTTAGCGCAAATGTCAAAGGTTGATGGTCGGTAAATATCTTTATGCTTCTTGCTCCATACAAGTAACAATTCAATTCCTTTAAAGCCCAAATTATCGCCAGCATTTCTTTCTCATTTGTCGCATATTCCTCTTCTGCCCTACTGAGAGTTCTAGAAAGGTATGTGATAGGTCTATTGCCTTGAGATAAAACTGCTCCTAAAGCGTATTTCGAGGCGTCAGTAGTGAGTTCAAAGGGCTTATCAAAGTCGGGATAGTTCAAAACGACTTCCTCCGATACCAAACAGTTCTTGAGCTGTTTGAAACTTTCAATCTGTTCGGAATTCAAATTGACACTGATTTTTTTTGACTGGTTTCTCGGGGTTTTCCCTATATCGCCTCTCATCATGGAAGTTAATGGTTTGGCTATTTGAGCATAGCCCCTTATGAATCTCCGATAATGTCCAGTCAAACCTAGGAACGATCGCAAGTCATGAACTGTTCTGGGTTGAGGGAAATTAACTATGGCCTTAAGTCTGTCTGGGTTTGCAGAAAAACCTCCTTCCTTTACATTGAACCCTAAGAAGTCAATTTCTTCCTTTAAGAATTCACTCTTGTCCAAATGAACTTTCAGATTAGAGTCTTCCAAAGTGCGGAATATTATCCTCAAATTTTCAATGTGTTCCTTTTTAGTCCTACCAAATATCAAAATGTCATCAATGTAGACGTAGCACCGTTTCCCTATATGCTCTCTAAGAATATCATCTAGAGCTCTTTGGAATATTGCAGACGCGTTACGTAGTCCAAATGGTAGTCTTGTGAACTCGAACTTTCCATTCTTGACGGAAAAAGCTGTTTTCTCAATATCGGATTCCCTAAGTGGAATCTG